TTTTAGTAGCTCCTGTGTTAGATAGGAACATTTTGTTTTGTTCCGTGACCGCGACCTTCGCGCGAGCCACGTCACCGGTCCTGTCCAATGTGAGCTTTTCTGCGTTCTCCATTAAGGGACTCCCTGATCCGAGAATCCGTGAGACCAGATATCAATTGTTGTATTAGCATGGTTTCTTCCACCTTTTTCTTGGGAATACTATTGTAGTCACACATTCGAACAGAACAACTAAACGGGAAATGAATGCATGCACTACTTCACCAGCCGCTTGTTTCAGCTGCGAAAGATTGTACTGAGAAGGGAATGTGTTCACACGAACACCCCAGTGTTTATCGAGGACCGATAAGGCCTCTGTCAACGTGGGTTTCTTCCTCAAGTTTAGACCATCAAATGTACGCCAACGCTGTGAGCCGAGGTGCAAGCGCAAAAGCTTTAAAATATCCTCCATTTTCAGCCTCACAGATGCATTGAGAACTCGTAGCACATAAATATAATCTGAAAACTAATTTTCCAGTCTTCTCAGCACTCTGCATTTGGGGAGACCACAGAATCAGTCCAGAACGGTGCAGGGGTAGTAGCATGCAAATATATCGGTAATATGCGACCCCAATTTGTTGTGTCCCGGAAAAGCATCGGACCAGAGCAGCACCGGAACATTTGTATGGAGGAAACCGTCCGCACACACGCCCAGTACACCTAAATCGATAGAGTTTCGAACTGCAAGCAATCAAATGCAAGATCACCTGATACGCCAACGGGTGCTAAATAGAAGTGTGAGTAGGATAAGCGAATCGAGGGCAAAAACAAAGCAAAGTTTTCGAACACGACAAGTAGTAAACACGAGGAATAAGCGCAATCCAAACACCGATCCACTTGTAACACCGCATTCCACCTCAATCAGGTTAAAAAGTGATTCCCTAACACGCAACCGAAGTCTCCGTTGGTGAAGAAAGTTGGTGGTCCCATCAGTAATAGGACCTCCGATCCCACAGTTCTGTAACCTGTAAAGTAGGAATCGGTGATCCGGGCGAATGGAAGCCTTCAAGAAATTCAAATGGATGGCGCCTATTCCGGCCCCCACCATCGGCTACTTCCGTCCAACTACCTCGTGTCATCAGCAGAGTGATAGTATATGACCGGCGTTGACGGGAACCATGCTGCTCAGGAGAAAGATTCTGCATTTCCCAGGTGGTCCAGTAGACTCTCAGCTACGACCACCTCCACCACCTTCGAGAGCACGGGAGAAGAGTCACTGGATGATTATTTACTTGAGCTGAACAGATATCGCATTTAAAATTTGGGATGGTAATGTCATGCTTCCACATAGGGGAAACTTACTGTTACTCGAAGCATCTTTGTAAGAACGGTGACAGGGACTTGGTTAGCTTAGTGGCCGCAGACCTCAGTGTCTTCGGGCGAAAGTCGTCCGCTACTGGAGAGCTATGATCGAGCAATGAGAGCAAGTTTGTTAGTGTCGTAGCTGACTTTAAGCTTGCATGTGTAAACCCTAGATTCGGTAAAATGAATGACGGTATGTAACAGGAACAGACTGCAGGTACCGAAAATTGGGGCGTATTTTAGCCGAATGGCGTTGGCTGCTTTGTAGGCTCTTTGTGCCCTACCGTCTGTCACGAAATGTAGAGGGATGCCATGATTCACTCTAGCAAGACTGTTGATATGCCTGTACAGTAGTTTGTTATTTGCCAAAAACGTTTTGGCTAGGCACTGTTGATAACTTACTTTGTCCTAATTGACAAGTATGGTACAATGGTTGCGGTGGGTCAGGAAGTTGCATCAAATCTCCGATCTTGGTTTAGCCTTGTAGACGTGCCATGCTGCATCCCTTATAGTCATGCACTTTCGAATCCAGCTTCCGAGAATTGACAGCCCCTTTGCGGAACGGAATGGAAGCCTGCTTCCACATGCATCCCGTCAGAGAGAAAGGATGGGTAGTATGCTATGGTTCACTCGTGACATCTCGCTCCATTTATCCCCACTTTGTGAATATCCGGAGAAGTTAGCAAGATTTATAAGGAAATATGTTAGCCACCCGTCGTAACTGGCTGCAGTTATTGATATGCGGTCAGTGTTCGTCTCTTCCGGCTTTCCGGCCACGACAAGCGAGGTAATGCACAACGTTGCTGTTCCCTCGAGTTCAGGCCATTAAGGGCTGGTAAATCAAGGTTGTACTTACTGGGTTACAATGCTCGGTACCTCTGGAGTAGCTCCGCTCCTCAGTGATGTATGCGTTGCGTGGTTAGCCTCCAGGCCTGAAATGGTTCTTGCCCAGGCAATTATATTATGACTCGACTATCCACAAACACACACACAGATCAGAGGCAGCTTATTCAGCAAACAGATACAGCTCAATGGCAGGTGGGCCACGGAGTGCTTAGGCGCTTATTGGGTTTTGCTAGTTTGATGCAGTCTGAATCTTTGTTGGTTGACAAAATGGTACGAAATCCACTGAAACTGCAAATGGAGAGTGAAGACAAAATTACCACTTTCTATGTTCAAGTAAGGAGACTCCACGGATCCAGAAGAAAACGTCTGATTCATCTAACGAATTAGCGGTTGTTAACACAGTTGGAAGCCAACACGGGGCACGTCTCCGGTTCCGAGGTGTACTCAGTGATCTGCATGTTTTGGTTCAACTCAACGCAAATGTTGATCAGAATGATGCTTGGTGGTCGAAGCTGCGCGACGGCTCCTGCACTACACTGATATGGGATAAATTGCAGAGACGGAAACAACAGAGGTAAAGATACTGTTCAATTAACCTAGCATTCCATCGAACTGGGTTATACCATTGATCGCGGTGGTGACTGTGTCGGAGAGATCAATTTGTCCAGTCGAGTTGGAACTCAGCTCCATTGTTTCTCCAAAACACTTTATCATGGACAACCCACTTCCTTTTACATGTGCCAGAACCCTGGTTGCCTGTTCTAACCACTCCTTGAACATTGATAAACTATTCGACTTTGCTCATCTAACCCACCTCTATGGTTACTCAAATCCGCCTCACTCATTTTGATTTTTCACCCTTCATCATTTGAGGTGCTAATCCTCAATAACCCATAGCAGACGCTGTAGAGAGCCTCACCATAGACTACACTTGACAGACACTCTGCCAATCAGCTGTTCTGAACCTGTCTATCTGTTCACATCCAATCGATCTTCCAAGCTATGCTATTGGTGTATTTTGCCCTATCAATCATTGCCGCATCAGACAGTCAATTGGTGTATTGACTTGTTTTGAAGCGGTGCTGCTCGGCTACGGCTTCGCCCACATGTTTGCATTTTGTGTTTGTCATTGCCTGGCTTTTGGATCGGTCTTCTGCGGTATCCACCAAAGTTTTTATTGCGTTTGTGTGTGAGGAAACCGTTTGAGGTTTGTCACTTTTGGCATTTATTGTTATTATGCAATAGCACCAGAGTTACACTGGCGCTGATTTTTTTACTTATCCCGGGAATTGCGGATCTGTTCCGGTCTTGAATTTGGACAACTGGGGGCTGCGCATATCGCTCAGGGTTTCTAAACGTTTAAATGCTTACAGTGAAATGGGGTACTTAAATAGGATGGTAACTGGAAGTTCAGATGGCCATGTTGAACTTAGCATGATTTACTGGGATAAGGCAGAAGAAAAGTGCTGTGTGTGCCAGGCTAGCAAAACGGTTAGCTTAAATGTGATCTTAATGCTCGCTTGCAAAGTTTAAAACACTGGTTATATGACTAGGACTTGGGAGCTATCAGGGTGCTAGTGGACGGAGTTACATGGTGATCAAACTCACGTCATCACCAGTGTGCCACACTCACGGACCCCGGTATTTGTTGAGTAGACGTTAGTGGCCGACAACCAAACAATCGCATTTATCAGAGAATAGCAACGCAATATGCACACATTGTCTCTGACCTAGTCTACAGAAAAAATATAGACAGGCATGAAAATAGCGATTTTAGTGAGGGTACATCAACAGCCAAATGCGAAAATCTGCTACTACGCGGATTAGAGTTTCAGACACGTTTGATAGTCTTAAAGAACCAAATGACCAAAGAATCGAATGTCATCCACTCTACATTGCAAGTATGAATTCTGCCGAAATGTTATTTGCCGTCCTGTGATTAGAAGACTGTTGATTGAACGTAAAAATACGATGCCGTCGGAACAGACCTGCAAGCAACCGGTAGTCGTGTTATAGCGTGTCAGCAGCAAGCTGCGCTCATTATGAATAAAACAAGGTTTCCGAATGATATGATAGTGTTTGTTTGTGGTCACTGAATACTGAGAATAGAGCTAGATGTATTATCGATGTATTATCAAGCACACATGTAGTGCAATGTGCTCTATAAATTTAGAATCCGTAAAGTAGGCAACCGGAAATCACTTGATTTCCGACATCTTTTGTAGTACCACGAAAGTCTCTGGCAAACTGTTCCGATATTTCACCACGCGACGCTCGAAACACAGAGACTGAGCTGTTCGCTTCAGGTCCAATGCTACAAGTAGGTGCCGGTGCCCTCACGTACTGCATGGGGTGCGCATGTGCAACAGAGGTCTTTGCATATTGGCTGTCCACTAAGAGCTCCTATGGCACTATGCAAGCGTTGCCTAAGAAACCTAAGAGCGATGGATTAAACCGAAATTGAGTTTTTGTGCTTGATCCACAGCCCCAATTGCCAGCGGTACAGAAAACGCCGCAATCTAGTGGTATATTTGCTAGGTGCTAAATTTTTGCGAACGTAACAGGTGTTACCAAACAATAATCTAACAGAGAATCAATCCTAATTAAGGTTGATCAATGATCACACTAGCATTGAAACTACGTCCACCAAACATGACTTGTACGAAGCCGAAATGACCTAAAAATGATTATAATGCAAAGTACGAGAGATGTTTGGGCGATGTCAACCTAACATTTACGGTGCACTTCTTTTGTTCCCTGCCTACTTCACAACCCATATTTAGTGAAATTAAGACAATTTTCTGTTTATGTTTTAGATCATAATGTGTCAAGCCGCGAACTACGCCATGCCCGTGGTCACACGGCCCATGACTTTGTCGGAGCGCGCCTTTGCATGGCCCACAATACCGAGTTTTGGACTGGCCTCCACTACGGGTGCGATGAAGGATCGGTTGTTGGAAATACACACCGATGTCGTTGCGTTGGCTACAAGACTGACCGAGTGCCTAGCGCTCGTCAGGGAGAAAATGGTCCGCGATCGCAAGATAGAGTCCTACTTCATGCAACATACCGCAGCACAGGAAGCTTTACGTCGGAACCTTCTTCGTAACCTACAAGCGCAACGTGTTTACATAGAGTGTTTGGAGACCCAGAATGACCGACTTGCAGGTCTCGCTATCAAAATCGACCCAAATTTCGCAAAATCCGCTGATTTTCTCATGATGACTGGCTCCGGGGCCGGTTTCCAAAATACGGTTAAGCCCAACTTGACCGCCTCTAACCAGAACAGCATGATAGTGAGCTCTCGAGTAATGAGTCAAAACAGAGAAGACAGCGATGATGATTACCCGGGCAGAGAGAGAAATAATCACAGGGGTCATGGTGGATCTGCCGGATTTGAAGAAAGACGATATGAAGACGAGTACAAAGATCATAGATCTGCAAATGGAAGTAGGGGGCGCGAATTCGGAAAAGCGATGAACCGGAACGAAATGGAAAAGGATGATCCAGAGAATGTCACAAAACGCCGTATAACGGCTGCGGAACCGTCTAACTCAAACTATGAGCTAAATGTACAGGACGCGAATATGAACTATTCAGCAAGCGGAGGAGGACGTCCACCAATCTGGGTACATCAGGGGACACTAACCTCGAGGACCCAAGGATACTCGAAGAGCAGAAACGACTACAAGCAAATCAACCTAGAGCTGGATGCTACGCAAAATCTGGAAGCGCTCCGCGGAAACTCACAAGCGGTTGAAGAGCTTTTGATAGGGGTTGATTCAGTGGCTTTCGGTAGGCGAAGACCAGTCGATAATTTGGGACAGTTACCAAGCCCATCCTTTTTAAATACAGAACACTACGTGACCTCAATATGCGATGATGTCTTTCGCACGACGCCATACGACGGGGTATCTGCCAGCAATAAGTCTTCTGCTCACTCGATTATAAAATCGAATGGCAGCCCGGGAGCTTTGCAGCCTATGTCCGCGAGCACCAGGTCTAGTGAAGTGGAGTTGATGGGCTCGGTTATGTCAGATGCACAACCAGCGGTTGCTATGGTAAGTAAACAATCAGATAACACTATAAAATCCCAGGGCGCTGTGCAACAAGAAGACAGAAAACGATTGAGGGATAGCCAAAATATTAGACGTGAACATGGGCCGAATGCCGTAGGAGAGAATAGCTCTGAGGCGGGGCTGGAAACAGATGCAACTGATGATACACTGAGTGAAATGTCACCAAGAGCCAAGAGGTTTGAACAATCTAGTGATAAGGACCAGATTCATCCATCGCACCTACTGGCACAGGAGTCATCACCAAAGCCCGTGGATACTAACGTGAATGCCAGTGACATCGTCCTCCCCAGATTGGTTTCCGATGTCAAGCGTTCAATTCCACGCGTACCGTGCACAGCGAAACAAACAATGCTTTCGACATTACAGGCACAGACGGAGAGAGTGTTAGAGAGAAATCAGCCGTACGCGCATCCTAGAGAATGCGAGAGCGCTCAGCACCTACACGGTCTTGAAATCCTAAGGCCGAAAGATCGTTACGGGAGTGACTCTCTTCGGAATGCCAGTGAACGCTGTTTGCGACAAGTTCCAGCCGTGGGGGTTGCAGAATGTGGACACCTCTGCATGCCGGAATGGATAGCCAAACGAGAGGAAGGCAAGGTATACAAAGTCGAAGACTTGCTAGAGGAGCCAAAACGTTCGGCACTGAGTAAAGCTATGCTGACACACAGGTGTCGCCTTGTTGAAACCATCTTACAAGCGGATGAGGATCGCTTGGAAGAGATCATATCGGTGCTTCTGAAGGATTAGCTACCTAAACCCATTCGTTTTACGGCACACAAGTCAGTTTGCTCGAGTAAGACAGGAACCCAGTTCACGGCTACTGCAACAAACAAGTGCTTGTTTAATTCAGTTCAGTGCACAAGGGCTGAAAATTGGTGAACTGAAGGCGTAAACAATCAAAGCAGTGGAACAGAACATCGACTCTACGTCATTTGCAGTGTGGCTCGTAATGGCAGCAAATCACTGTGAAATCTGTGATATGCTTGTGGACCGTCAGTCATAGTCCGGCGTTGCATAATTTTGGACCGCCCACATCCACTCTTCTAAGCCTACGGATGCTATCCCCCATCGACCAAATCCCCAAGTGCGTCTCATTTACCACATGTGCATCCATAATGTATCGGCACAAAACACTCGCTTTTCGTGCCTGTATGGTGGATGTTTAATTATGTGTGCAACCGCCGGATCCACAATGTTTACCGGTGTCACACTTGAATGTATGCACAGAGTTGTGATTTGTCCACGCGAATAGGGCATCTTGATGAGCTTCTATAGCAGGATTGTAACTGCAAACTCACCCTCACAATTACTCAATCGAGCTAGGCTCTGTTACCGGAAGGCTAATGCACAATACATTTAGATGCGCTCAGCGTGCCGCCTAAATAAGCCTGAATAGACAGAGACAAGTCTAGACATTTAGGCAGTCAAGTCAGTAGGTTTACAAATGGAATGCAGGCGAATTGGGACATATCAGTATCCCACTTTATTTGGTTTACTCAGTTCTGTTATTCGGCTGCATATGCTGTTAATTGTGTGTGATAATTTTCCTTCAAATTCTATTTTGGTTGTTTGATATCCCCGGCGTGGCTGCGCTCGATGTGAAAGTTGACAAGGTGCCTCCTTTGCGATTACTGGCTCCAGGTGACCATGAATCGCTGCTGGGGGAAAGGGGTGCATGGTCCTCGTGGCCGTGCTAGGCTCAAAGAGTGGTTCCATCCGGTATGGAGCGGAATACGGCCCATCCCCCGTTTTGCGTACGCTTGGTATGCATGATTCCCCACATAGATGTACAAGTATGCTGTTGCTGTGCGTGTTGAAGGAGTGTGGATCGGCTCCGTTGATGAAACACGACCCCCATTCACACGTTTCCTGGTCTTATTCCATCGGGTTTACACTGGATATACGGTGTGTGGATGGAGCTGTGGGTGGTGCAGCGCAAGGCACCCATGGTCCCTCTGTAGGTATTTGTGTCATGTGGCTGTCCTATGGAGGCCGCAGTGACAAGCAAATCCAGAACCGGGTGCAGCCAACCATGGGATATTTTGAGAACGCAATGCACTATGCTGGATGCCAAATTGGTCAACCAGCTGTCATGCAAGAGCCTCTAACTAGGGTGATGTATAACGCAGTATGTCTTAACAAATATTGCGCACAGCCAAAATGACATAACTGGACGGACACATCACCAATCTCCAATGAAACCAAATAGTCAGACAAGTCACCTATATAATTGCATCAGCTCTAGTAAGTGCTGCACCGGAGAGATTACGGCGCGCAGCGAAAGGACGCACGTGGCATTTTAAAACCTCAAACGTACAGCAGGCAATATATGTTGTCAGATTAAGTAAAGGACTTTCGAAGGCTGACCGTATATGCCTGTTAGGTAACAGACACTGGTGTAATCCAAGAGGCTTTAATCCCAATCGGATATGCTGAATAGATCCCATTCAGCGTACTTTTGGTAACTGGCTGCCTAGGCATGTAATGTTTGTTAAAGCCAAGCACGGACGGGGGGGGGTAGGGACCCAAATACAGTCGCCAGGAGCACGGCTGAAGAGCCCGAAAAAAACTCAAGAAAATTTCGAAGAGGATTGGTGCTACCAGCTGTTAAGATGGGAATGGACATACCAGTGACCAAATCCCCCAGTAGAGCGGCGCAGTGGTACTCTTTCATCCGTTCTTTCTTGTCTGTATCTTACCTCTTCCTTACGATTACCTCTTTCTATTTACTTTATTTTTGTCGACTCAATGTGAACCATCATTGTTCCGTTTAATAATGAATAAGCATTCATCCGTTTGCACGTACTTCGGTGTACCCGAGTGGTTGACAATATCCAACTAGGATAATCTGCGGACATTCTAGCATGCCAAAGGTTGTGCAGAAACGATTGCATCTGGGAGTGCCCCGTGGTTTGCAGACCTCAATGGATGAGAAACTCCAACGGCGCTCCAGATAGGTGCAATGTATGCGTGTCTTTGGTTACCTCCTATACTTGTGGTGTCACTGAAATTCACCGCTTGACGGTATAGGTTATGTAACCACCACGTAGTCGATGGAGTCCACTAAATAATCTGGGAACCGTAAGCATTCGGGAGTAAGGAAGGCCGAACAATCCCTTTCATGTTATTTGTTGTTCGCAGTGCAAAGATGCCACCCAATCGACCACACGGTGCACATAAGCTTTGAGCATCACGGGAAAGTGCACCCTGCAAGAAATTGGCGTCCCAATCAATGTGCGCCTGTCGGTTAAGCAGCAGATTAAACCAGCATTTCTTCCTGTCAAATGGCTGTTCACTCTGGACAGACCATTTGAAGACTCATTAAAATCGTGCTGGAGTACTCCATGAGATTCCGATAGGTTGCTCACCTACCATGTCGCAGCGTAATTAGTGGAGTTGGAAACCTGATATGGCAGCCTCCGCTATCGTTCAAAATACCTAGGAAGAAATCTGCCTCAGTACCGAATCATATAATACGCTGCATCCGACCTGAATAGGATCTGGGAGGATTTCGAAGACTATTCACTGTCGGGATTGGACGGTCGGTACCACAAATTCATGCTCCAGAGTGTCAAACTTACTAGAAAATCCAAGCAGATAAACTGGCTACCACCTCGGCATTAACTACCACGGTCTGGTTTGTGCAAGCAATCAGCAGGTCGGTGATACACGATAGATGCTTGCGAAGACCAAAGCGCCCTAGGTAATCATGTAGCCCATGGATGCATTCGTGGCGATTGCCTTCATGGCTTTAAAAAGCATAGTAGGAAGTTCTGCTTGTATGTCCAACACAGCCACCTCTGCTACGAATAGGCGCGATGAGCCCTCGTCATACGATTGAGAGGACCTCTCTTCTAGCTACCGGCAAGACAATCCGACAAAGTCCATGGCCGCCGGTTGACAAGTTTAGAGATACATGTTATATGCTTCAGTAACTGAGCAACCTAACTTTAATGATGTCGATCAGTTTGAGTGAGAAATGGAAAAAGGTTAGCTGATAGGTGATAACAAAAGGAAGCGGATATTTTTAGTTCTTCCGTTCTACCACATCCGGATTCGGCTGTGGTTAGACAAGCCGTTGCGCCTGAAAGAGATGCTAATAACACTGGAAGACATACCAACTTAGTTAATCATAAGGGTCCATCTATATAGTAGTATTATTGACCACAGTCACTTCTTAATGGTAGCTTTACTAAAAGAGTTATCGATAACTTGTCTCGTACACGAGTACGCACCACACACACACACACACGGGTGGATCCACGTACTACGACGCATTTCCACTGATGCCTATATGTGCACTCGGTTACAAAATTCATCAAGTGCAAGCGTTCCAGGTATCACACCGATAGGCTAACAATCTTCGGAGAGGACAACCGGGTAGTTCCCCCAAGGAGTGCGTTGATTTCAAGCCAACACGGTCGCTGAGGTATTGATTTGCTCACCGAATCGGGTGACTATGTTGCAAAGGCTACATCGCCAACCCAGGCGATATCTTCAGTGAATAATGACTAAAAAACGCTTGTAAATACTAAGCCTGATATATCCGTCTCTGCCGGGGTTATACTGGACACTATACTTAGCAATGATTGTGGATAATATCAGAGTTTCAGTGACTAAGTGGCACATGTCAGGCCGACAAACTCCCTCGCCCGGCACCCTCATGCCTTCAGCATGCCATCAACTGGGGTTTCATTCGCTCAAATAAGCTGTGTTCCCGCGGTGGATGGGGTTTAGAGCAAACAGGACAAAGACTTCATCGCACCGGAGAGTACACTGACCAGACGTCAAGTCTCACGAAACAGGCAACATAGGGTAAGTGAGGGCATGTTAAACAGGCCGCGGTCAACGAATATGGCAACCTCATACACATGGACCACAATAGTTTCGTAGTACTTTGAATTACGTGATTCAACAAGCTAGAAAGGGAAGTCTAACGGATGGACGGATCAGCGTAGTGTCAAGTTTGCTGAATTCGCTCGCGCATTGTTTGGTAGTTTATCCGATGTAACCAATAGCCAACGATAAGCAGTCAATGAGTGAAGGAAATGCTGTGCTTGCTGTTGCCGATCAAGCTATCCGATATTCAGTGTTCCGGTGTATTGACCCCCGCGATGTGCCCGTCAAAATTCGAGCGTTCAATCTGGTGACAACCTGGAAACGAGCTCACTAAAAACCGTTAATATTAGTATGCTGCATTTCTCCGTCTATTCAGCATACAATCGGATGGATACTACTACTACTACTACTAATAATAATAATAATAATAATAATAATAATAATAAAAGTGCTAGCTGTACGCCGTAACGGCGCTTCGCTGCCGCGCGAGGACCACTGGTCGGTGACCCCTAGGCGGATTCGAACCGGTAACCTGCAAGCCAGAGGTGCAGACCACGAGACCACCGGAAGGCCCCGAACAGGAATCATCGACATCCGAAATGCGAGAGATCCCAAATATGATCAGTATGCTCAGCAGTTGGAGTCAACGAACAGGTATCGGAAAAGTAGGAAACGAACGGCAAACAGTAGAAAATTAGTGGGCATGTGCGTGCCTTCCTATGGGTGCATAACGAAATTTGTGGGCGGTAGCATCACCTACAGTGCTGGTTGTATGACGTGTGACAAAGTAGGGAGAACCGGTCAAGTTACAATCGTTCAACAGAAGTCAAATGGTGGCGGTGAGCAGCACAGGAGACATGCCGGTCAAAAAAGTGACAGTCACTTAACGGAAGCGGTGGTTAACAAGGTGCGAAGTTATGAGCCATGTGAGTGCAATCGTCCCGATCACCAGAGAAAAAAAGAGGCAGAATTTCGAGACTTCAGTAAACAATAGATTGAAAAATCTGGTGAATAAATGGAGTCGAATTGATAATAAGCTTGGTGGAGATGATGACGGAACGAATGGATTAAAAGCATTCCGAAGAAAAGTGAAAACAACCAGAACAGCTTGGAAACGCTTCATACGAGGGTGTGACGCATGCATAAATGCCTCGCGATTGCACGGGTAATCCGTATGCATACGAAGATTCAAAATGGAGGCAATGTACAGTGTAACTAAAAAGGTGGGAGTGTACGCCTCTGGTGAGCTTGTATTGCATTTACACGCTGATGACCAGGGTGTGGTGAGGTGTGTGTAGAACATAAACCATGCGCCCTCAGGGACGAATTGCAAAGCGACGGATAAAAATAAAGTCAAGAGATGGAGTGGAGATAAGGAATGAGCTGTAGTGATCGAGAGAACCAAAGACAGGATAAAATTATAACTGAGGTCAAAAAGGAGGCACAGCGAGGAGGAGGAGGAGATGAATCACAGTGGACACAGAAAAGGTCGGTTCGCTGCGTGCTCCCATTGGCTGTTTAGTCATGGCGGACGAAATCGGTCGGCACAAGTCCGTCTGCGAAGGTGGCAGCCAGTATCCGTTTGAAGCGTAGATATTCGTTGATTCGTACGATAGCATAGCTGTAAAAAAGAAAAATCACTTAAACGTCAAGTAATCTAAACAAGCTGTATACGAAGAGGCTGCAGTGGGACGAATCAAATGGCCCCGGTTGATGGAAAGGATGTTTATAATTCTTTGTGGCTCAGTGTGCTAGAAAAAGTGGACACAATGAAAGAGTAACCCATGGTTGTCAGCTTGTTTACATTGCTGACTTGAATGGAAAACAGAATGACGGCATCAAAACCAAATGAAGACAGGTACGTAGAGCTCGAATCATTTGTGTGTGTGTGTGTGGGGGGGGGGAGACCGGGCACGAAAAGATTCGGACAGCTACCACACACCGAGTTGTATAGTGGGAGCTTAGTAACAGCCTAGAATCTCATATAACTCGTAGTGGTGTCAGTCTCGACTATCTGTTTAGATGCAGCAGCAGTTGTCAAAAAAGGAGATGACAACCAGAATGACTAGGCAGCCAGATGTAACAGTGACTCACGACTCCACACTGCAGAAGCGAGGCCACTACTCCAGTAAGCCAGTGAAAAGCAATGGCAAGTGTAGTAGAGGGACAAAAAAGGATGAAGGACAGCAATGTGACACAACTGTTGTTGTCTCTGATTTGGGCAGACATTTAGTAAGAGGACATCTAAACCTCCCCAGAGTTAAAAGGGCAAAAAGAACTCGGAATCCTCTTACCTACACAAGATAGTCAGATGGTTGTGAGCAGACGGATTTCGCAGGGTGAAGACAACCTGCGCTTTTTAAACCATCTCGCAGTTTATGATGGCATGGTACTGAAGAACGAATAAAGTGCCAACACGCTGTTGTTGATTCACGCTCGTAACCTTAAAGGTCATAAGCCAGCTTTGTAATCCGAGGGCGCGGGTTCGGGCCTACGTAGGGACCGTGCGACTCACGCAGTATCCTTAGCCCACGTGCAACTGGTGGTGGCTGCGCGGTAGCGAAGCGTCGTTACTGAGTACCAGCGTATTGCTGGTGCTTACACTTCTGTTGATGATTACGATGAGGGGGTTGACGATGGTCACATGAGATGCAAAACAAGCCACAGAGGCAAGGACCGAACGGCTTGCTCACGAGATGAGCTAATGAACCGGAGAAGCAGCAACTGACTAAAGTGCTCCAGTGGAGAATCCATGAGGTAATGTTTTGTACCCACGGGAGTGATTATCTGAAGTCATCAGATCACCTATTCTGGAAAACCATCACATAATCTGTGACTGCTGTTATAAACATGCCAGGCGTTGTAACCCAATTATTCCAGGGAGAACTGGCTCCACATCCAGCACAGCCATAGTTCGATGAACATTCCGAAAACCATGCAGCTGTATCATTAACGGTGACACCAGTCGTAGCAGATGATATTGGAAGAGGATCGGCTACTTTGGTCGGTCGGGTTAGGTGTATAAAAGAAATACCCATAGATGAAGCCCACGTCGTAATAGATTCTCGTAAGTTTGGAGCATGTTTGTAATACCCAGTGCTTCGGAACTGCTACTCAGAGTTTGGACTAAAGTTTAAATACCCACACTTAGTAATACTTAACTGTACGCAATAACTTGCTGGTTACGGAAAGCGACAAACGTGAGACAATATGAATTCACCATACGACCATAAATTAAAGAGAGGGGATAAAATGAGGCTGAGAGGGGTCTGGTGTTTAACCTATACGCATTAGGCAAACAATCAAAATGGATGCATATTGTAAACATTATGCGGACACAGTCAGCCAACTACAGTGCGAAGGTGGACGTGCCGCGAGAGCCTTCTTGAGGTTTTTACTAACCCGCCGTGTCATAACCAACATTATCCTGCAGATAACAGCATCATACACACCTGAAAAAAGTTGTAGGTCCCGGAGGCAACGACAAACGCGCCGCTTATAGTGGCTACAAGGACACCGGAATGAAAGGAGTGATTGAACAACGGCGCACAATCTAAAAGCTAGTGACCCCATTCCCGGTTGGTAGACCATTGGACTGCACTCCTCTGACTTTTGGCCACCAAGTATCAGGTAAATAACAAGGCACTGTTAGCTAGGCCATGGTAGAGCATAGGTAAAGCGCCAGTGAGCTCCCGCAACATGTGAAACCTTGTACACAACTTTAGGGAACTAAACTGAGCACCGCTGACTGGTGCACGCCTTCCAGTTTCGTTATTGTGTCATTCAACACCAACAACGAGTTGCCAATGGTCAGAGAGTTAAGGATGTCTGAAACCTCCAGAAGGTAATCAAAAAGCCTAATTGTCGTCGAGAAGAACCACTTACACCATGTCTATACAGACATAAACTTCAAACCCACCTTCTGAGGTGATCGATTTGGCATAAAGTTAACCGAAGTTGCTGTTGGATTGGTGAATAGACACAAGGTTGTTCCGAAATATGCTATCAGTTTGACTGCAATTGGGCCGTGTGCACTCGTGGTGATTTTGGTGCATAGAAGTAATCCTGTTACTAATCCAGCAGATGATGGTAGGACAATGAGGTGTTCAATGTAAGTAAATTGAATGGTTGTGACTTCGTTGCCACTGCATCCCAACCGTACAAAGGGTGCATACTGCTAACATGTGATTTAAATGGCGCATCGACTTCGAGTTTATGAGCGTTTTGATAAATAGGAGTCGATAAACAACCCACAAGCAAATAAACGCCGGTTGAATGGTAAGAGTGGCACGCAAAATATCTGGCATGCGTGCGAAAACGGTTTGAGCACCTCAAATTCAAAAGATAGAATGTCACATGCAACCATGAAACAGTAAAAACTTACGAAAGAAAATCGAATCGACTATTGTGGTCAGCAGCTCGAAGGACGGCCCAAACACCCCAGGTAAGATGAGAAACCTATATGGATAACAATGTAAAAATGAACGTTTAATAAAAAAGTGAAGCGAAGTGAAGTCACAATACATGTTTATGGGAACAAACGGAAAAACTCAGGTCAGTCTGTCGCTTGATACAGGTTCCGCAACGCGTGGAATCCATCGCAACGAGACTGCACTTTAGCACAGCGCGACACCATAATCAGCTTCCGATACAGTGGCTGTGGTCTAGGGCGCTAGGATAGTGAGTGAAGGTCAAACACACTACTGCCCGATCCGTAAGCTTGAGGTCTTGGGGTGGGAGGCTGATATATATGGTTGGCGGCATCCGGTTTCGGATTTGCCTGTCACTGTGGCCAGTCACAGGACGCCTGCGCCTACAGAGGGACCATGGATGGCTTGCGCTGCACCACCCACAGCTCCAACCACACACCCCATATCCAGTGTAAACCCGAAGCAATAAGACCGGGAAGCATGGGGATGGGAGCCACGTTTCATCAACGGAGCCGGCCCACACTCCTTCACAGGCAAACACAAGCACACTGTATTTGGGGAATCAAGCGCACACAATGCGGTGGCTGGACCGTAGTCCGCTCCACACTGAGTGCATGGAACCGCTCTTTGAGCCTAACACCGCTACAAGGACCGTGCACGCGGTCCCCTCCAGCAACGACCAACTGTCTCCTGGAGCGAGTATGAACGAGGCAGTGGGTAATAGACAGGTAGGCAACTTGTCAACATGCACAACAAGCGCAGCGACACCTGGGATGTCAAGTAACAACCATTCACTTGAAACGACAAGATGAAATAAAATAAATCGACTAATGCATTCAGATACGGTGGCATAACTCTTCGCTAAATTACCATATGAAGTAGGTTGGTTAGCAACGAATCCGCGATAAGTAAAAAATGTCCACCAGTTACTTAAAAATGCTACAAACGCAACAAAGTTACCGAAGATAGGCACAATTAGCGTAAGCAACGTGGCCAGTTAATAGAAGATTATTCAGGTAGGCAGAACAAACCAAATAAAGTGGAATGATATTTATCCAGCTTAAAAGACCTAGTTTAAGTATAAGTTGGTTTAGCCCAACTGCGGTGAAGAAGCACCAAGAATGCAACATCAGCCTCAGCATGGTGCACTATATATATATATATATATATATATATATATATATATATATATATATATATATATATATATATATATATATATATATATATATATATATATATATATATATACTGCTTGCTTGGGATGACTGATTTCGCAGTGGCATGCAAGTCTCCAATGACCTGAAGTTCAGTCAACACTGATCGCGTGATATTATCGGAAGACTGGCGGTTTTTAATATCAACTGACGTTGAAGGAGCAGACATAAGGTAAGCAGATGCATTCATGGCTGTAGATGAAGGCATGTGGTCATGATGCATAGATACCGAGGTTAAAATGGTAATACTACATTCAGCAGAATCATCTGCTGATGCGGACTTCACTTGGGGTGTAGTCAAAGGCGACGAGACAAGGATGACTTGACCGGTAGAAATGTCCTGTAGTCCTGGGAAGCAACGAAATCACTCATGTTAAAAACAAGGGATTAAAAGGCCTAATCCCGCAGGACTCAAAGCCATTTGTAGCGGTAACAACGGTTGCTGATTATTTGAAAGCTTGTCCAACTATTGAGGCTAGTTCCAAACTGAAATTCTTTAACGAGGATGATTCGGCATCCATTGATCAGCAAAGGCGTTGAATGCCTACTTCAAGGGCTTAAAAAACGTGTGATCGCAAGGATGGAGGCGATATGTACAATCTGATGGCAATATCAGCATGGTAACATAGCTAGCAGACGCCAATTCTACAGCAGCAAGGCTTATGACCTTGGTGGCCATCAAGTGTTAACAAGGCAGGTTCTGTCATCTATGGTTTAACGTTAGCAATGAAATGTTTGAGCCATTTTATGAACTGCTCAGCATCGCACCATATACTATCCTAGCAAGAGAAAATTGATTCGGCAGGTGTTCCCTTCAGTAGATGGGGATCCCATCGTTTCCTCGGAAATATGAACATTAGCGGGATGGATGTCCACATCGCATTAAAACCAGAAATGACGGTCAGAACTTGTCATTTTTCCTACGGTGCGTTTTCCTTTCTGAGCCGAAATTTTTGTTCACTTTTGAACACAGGACAAACCAGTCTCATCCAGATTCCATATCCTACTTCCTGTAAATGAGTGAGTTCTCAACACAGAACGCCTTGTTGAATCCAGTTGCACTCGAAAGGCTGACTGCCTCAGAATTTCTGAGAGAAATAGAAGGATTTCGTATTAGAAGCCCCTCGAGCCAACTTCGGCTTGCAGATTTAGTCTAATAATTGAATCGATGAGGTAGGTTCATCTTTTCTGCGAGATCATATACTAGACGTAGAACGTCTATGGTTGTCAAACCAAACAGCGGTGCTTCCACAGTCTTTATCTTTTGATAAAGTGCCTCTTCCAACTTCGGCTGTAGTTCTGTTCTGAAACGATCCAAAAATACTTACCCAGGTGCAAAGACTTGAAAAAAACCAGAAAATAACAGTGGAAAATGCAATTACTTCATTGTTTCTGTATCGCCTTAAAGTTCATCGGTCAATATTGAATTTATTAGAAGTCTTATTCAAGGAAATGCCATATTTCAAGTCCACCAATGTTAACAGCAGGTTTTGTGTCCCATAATCTCCTCTCTTACACTTCTGCACATACACTCGAGTCATGGTGGGATGGAAGTAATTAATAATAGTGATAACAAAAAGTAGAACTATAAAAAAAGATATAAAACGACTGCGGCGTCATATCCGCAGTGGGTGCAACTCAAAATAATTAAATTTATTGCCTGCCATGTTCTAGTCGAGCATGACACAGGAACTCATTCGGTCTATAGTTGAGTGCACCTTTGTAAAATATGATAACAAATTACTTGTTACACCCTTTCAGATACATATACGCTTAAGTGACATGCCAAAAATTAGGTGAAAAAAGATCGTAAAGTATGTCAATGAGTTAGTTTGCCAGTAAGAAGGGCATTCGGTAACTGAAGTTTTATGTATGAAACAGGGGAGACGAACAACTGTCGAGGCTACGACTTGGAGTGGTATATGGGTCGCACTGGAAAAATATATGAGTAGGCTTCTTCCTGCAGTGGGCCTCTTACCCCACTCTACCTTACGTGTTGTGTCTGAAAGTGGAGTCCACAACCTTTACAGGTTTATCCAATCAGTTTCGATCAATTTGTTCTCTCGCTATTGGTTGTGCACGCCCGAGGACACACATGGCAGTCTAAGATCAATCGGAAGTGGGTATCACTTGCAACTTCACGGCTGAGTCATTGTCCGTTGATTGTATTCACATGAACTGCCGTATATGTGACGCTCGGTCAACATAGCAGATCGAGGTAAATGAACGGGGGAGTGTTAGACGATGCGGGTGTTTGGGCGCTGCCTATACTGCCATAAACTGCAGTCCAGGTGGACCAATAGTACATGCCATCACGAATCGAACAACTGTATGGAATGACGTGACCAAATAGTCATGGTTGAAGAGTGACGTCGCATAACATAAGACGTAATCGGGACCGATGACACGTATGCTGCTGTTTCTTAACCCCCCCGTTCGTCTAAATATATATATTTATCTAATCACGATCTGTGCCATCGGAATCATAACGGAATATGAAAACAGGATGGGAATAAGAAAATAAAATAACAGGTAACTTTTTGTCCAATTTTTGTCAGTTTGTTTTATAGAGGGAGGGAAAGGGAAGCACCGCAACTCGCATAGATACACGTCCGCCAATGATGTCGGTCTTGAACCATACCTTCCGGAATCTCCAAACAGCGACACTCTGTATCTATGGGGCTCAAACCAGGGAGCCGAGATCGACAGACCGAAGTCAACTGCCTTGTCATCTTTTTCATGCCGCTTCTCCAAGTCGTAAGCTCTCCACCGCGTCGCTTACTCAAGTCCGGCCCAGTAACCGAAAAAAACGCACGACGCGGAAGGCGATGAGCGGGTATGCGCAACAGGTGACCAAGCCACCGCAATTGGTGCAGCAATACAACCTCCTCGAGCGAATGGCTGTCTCCTCTAAAGAGGCGCTGCTTAATTCCCACATTGTATACCTGGTGAAGCCACCACACACGGGCAGTGGACCGCAAACAATGGCCGGGTAATGTCCACGGTTCGAACAGACCACCTCTCGCAACCGCAAAACAATACAGCGCGGACAGTCGCACAATAAACTCGCCCTTTGATGGAGAGACGGATGTTAAGGCGACGTCACAAGTGCCTCAGCTTAGAGAAGGCAAAACGAGCTCTTGAGATAGGCATCGAAATCTCATCTCCAACATCTGTTACAGCAGTGACGGGAAGTCTTAGGTAGACGAAACTTTCCACAATCTCCAGTCTTGCAAGCGAGAGTGAGAAGAGGTATAGGCATTTGCTAGTCTTGAAAATATACGCTTTAATCGCCAAGCGGTTAAGTGCAAGCTGGACGGCCTGCGAACCGTCAACTAACAAGAGGATATCATCAGCGTAGTCCAAGTCAACAACTTGGCTACCTGGGAGGAGCTCAACACCAGCGTTTAAGGAGTTTACTAGGGCGTTTGTGAGGATATCCTCATTGGTAAAATTGAAGAGGAATAAGATAGAGCATCCTTGTCGAAATCCACTGGTAACAACAGAGGAAGGTGAAAGTTCGATATAAGCCTTAACTCTACCCGAACTCAGACCGTACATAGCACGCAGTGGGGAAACGAACTTCTCGAGGACGCCATTCTTCAACAGACAGTGCCGCAATGCAGTCCTGTCGGCTGAATCGAAAATAGAAAATATATCCTGGAACACGACAATCGTTGGAGTTTGGTACACATGACGGATCTCGAGGATCTGGCGGGGTGCGAAAATTTGATCGATGCAGTCGCGGTCAGGGCGGAACCCAGGCTGCTCTTCCCGCTGCAGCGATTCGCGCATTGGGGATAAGTCTGCG